ACAACCCACTTCTTCGGATGCATCCGAAGAAGTGGGTTGTAGCCCACGAAAGCTTATGCTCTAATAAATTTGTTAGTCTCTAAGGTGCCACAAGTACTCCTGTTCTTTTTATATATAATATGATTCTATAAGGCTAGCAGGGAGATCCAAGAATAAAAAGATGTGATGCGGACTCTGGTCTCAGCAGGGCTCCTACCTCTTCAGCCTGTATTGGGAGGAGGAGAATGGAAGAAGCGCTCTGTGTAAGCTGGGAAGCTTGTCTGGTACAATAAAAAATATACCCCACCCACCTTGTCTCTGTGATGGGAGGCTACTTATTGTGGCTCTATATGGTAACGCCATGTCTCCTTGTCAGACCTGAGTCCCACCCACATAACTGGGCATGTGACAGTGGGAGAAAGGGGGGCGCCTCTTGTGGGGCTGGTGCGAGGAAGCAGAGGAGACGGGTGCTGTGTGTGCCACACAGCATCGGGGTGGCAGGCCTGTTTGGTCCCCACTGTTAAGCCAGAAACTCCTCCCATTCCACAGAGGGGACGGGCCAACCCCCCCTCATGGGGCTCTGGCTGGATGGAACGCAGGGAGTGAGTTCCCCGGGGGGACAGGGAAGGGGTCTCATGCCAATTACCCTCCCCGGCCCTGTGCGCGCCGTCCACCAGTCTGTCTCTCCAGCTCCCTCTTGCTCCTGCACTAGGACCTCGCCTTCCCCGGCCGGGGTTAGCTCCTCCCAGCCCGGCCTGCGCTGTGCTTTGATCCCACCCTGGTCATGGCTCCGCGCTCCCCCGCTGGGCACACGGCAGCCACAGACACACACCCAAGGCGGGGCGGCCAGCAGGCGCCAGCTCGCCGCTTACCTGGTCTGACTGCAGCTCCTCCCCCTGGCACAAGCGGCAGAGGAACGATTTCTGCTCCCGGCACAAGGTCTGCCTGGTGGTGAGGAAAACCGTGCCCCCGACGTTCAGCCGGACCCACTTAGCCCGGCTGCTGTTTGCGGGCTGCGGCGGGTGGCTCTCCCAGGTCAAAGACACCCTCTCTGGAGCCTGCGTTTCCTCCCCTCCTTCCATCCTCATCTCTCCCTCTCCCTCTCCGTCCCTCCCAAGCTGGAGACGCCACTGCAGGTGTGGGCACTGGAGGATTCTGGGATCTGTAGTTTATCTGGTGCTCTCCACCCCAGAGGTGGCTGCATTTCACTGGGGCTCAATGTGGTAGCTATGGGATCTTTGGGGAAGAAAGATTCTGTCTGAATGGCATGTTTGTTATTACTAGTGATGGGCACAAAGGACAAAACCCACCTCCTCATTCTGAACATTCCCCAAATCCCAGGGGTCCCAGGATAATGGGGTTTGCCTGGGGGCCTTTCTCTGGTCGCTGCTGTTCAGTTGATAGCTGTAGAGTATTTTGAAATAATATATAAACCCTCTTAATTACCATATTACATCATCGCTGCAATTGGTCACCAAAGAATTCCGGGAGCTGTAGTTTTGCATGGCCCAGTCTCCCTGCACCATGATCTGCCGTGTAATCTATGCCACCATTGCTGCTGCAGGTGCTAGAGGATTCTGGAAGCTGCAGTTTACACACCTCCAGAGCAGGGTGTTGCAGTGGTGCTTTGGGTTGAAGAGAAAACTGCTCTGTGCCCATGGGCTGGATGTGGCTAACTCTTCCAATGTGGGGGGAGGGACAGCTCAGTGGTTTGAGCATTGGCCTGCTAAACCCAGGGTTGTGAGTTCAGCCCTTGAGGGGGCCATTTAGGGATCTGGGGCAAAAATCTGTCTGGGGATTGGTCCTGCTTTGAGCAGGGGGTTGGACTAGATGACCTCCTGAGGTCCCTTCCAACCCTGATATTCTATGAACCAGATGGATCTTTCATGTTCCTCTTTTGCCCAGCAGGGGGTCTAACTATTATAGCATCCACTTCTCTGTTATTGCAGCAAAACACTCAGAGGATTTGGACGATTTCTGTCATTGAGACTATGTGGGTGCTCATGGGTGTAGGGGACCAGTGTCCAATATCAAAGCCCTGTTGTTGTTGTTTTAATTTATCTGCAGTAATAATCACCTAGTCAGTAAGTTTTCCCTGTGGTTGCTACCCCACCACCAATTCTAAACTTGCCTTGCATAAACCTCCCTTTCCTGGATGGGTGTCTCTATGTTCATTCAGTCACAGGCCTTGCCCCCACCCCCGACCAGGGGATTAATTCATTCACAACACCTGCCTCGGTCTCTTCTGAGTGCCCCATTCCAGGGGGGGGGGGGGAAGAGGGTTTGAGAAGGAAGAGAGGGTGCCCTTTTGGAAGTCAAGTTGCACATGACCCCTAGCCCAGGTGAAACACAAATGCTTTATCTATCCACCCAACCATGCTTCTACCATGCCCAACAGAGGTCACCTGACTTATTAACTGCAGCCACCTTTGCCAACATTTCAAACAGTATTCACATCAGGCAGAAAAATGCTGGTAGCTTCCCTCCCGAAGGCTGACACTGGCCCAAAGCCACCCAACCCTTTTCTACCAGGGCAATATCCATAAAGTGCAGTGCTGAAACATAGACAGATATCTATTAACCTTACAGTTGGGTCTTTTCTTGAGTCATCCTCACTGCCCCTCCCCCCTTATTCTTATTCCATTTAGGGAGCTAGTTCTCTGGTACAATTCAGTCCCCTTATGCCATAGAGGGGGCATAAAGACAACAGTTTTCCCCCACAGGTGAGTAACCCAGCCTAAAAGGGGTTCCCTGGAAAACAGAGCCAGCCTACGCCACTCCCTTTACAGGCCCCAGTGTAGGGGGTGTGCTGGGGGTAGGAGGGAGCGTGGCTGGAATATGCTGCCCTCTAGCTATTTTCAGCTGCTGAGTAGCCCCTAGGCCACCTCTGCAGCGGAGTGTAAATTTGAACAGCCTTGAGTCTCCTCTATTTTACAGCAGGAGACAGATAGGCAGGCCCCTGGATGCACAAAGAATATAAACTGTAGGTAGCATAGTCACTTTTGTACCCCTGCTCCTCATCTCTGTATGGCATACCTTGGTTAGAGTGGAGACTCAGGCCCAAATCCTTATTGTGTCATCTATTTTTTTCCTCTTATCCCACCCTCCCGATCTCCTTTGCCTCCATCTCTTTCCCCACTTTTCTCTGCCCCACTTCCTACCCATCTCTTTCCTCCTACAGCATGCACCAGGGAAGGTCTTTAGTCACAGCATGAGTTCTTCTGTCAGCACTGGCCTCTGTTTGTTGCCCAGACTTCAGGACCTGGCCCACCCACAAGAATGACATCATCATGGGAGGAAGGGCAAATTGTTAACACCTAACCCACCATATGTAATGCAGCCCAGCTGCTCCCTGGGAATTGATCAGGAGACAAACACCCCCCCACCGACCTCTCTCTTCAGGCTGTCTAGGATAATGGGTGTTATGATTAACAGGGACCTTTCTTTAATCAAATACATTGAAGCCAATGTGCTTGTACAGGTGTAACCAAGAGCAGATTAACGCTCCGAATGCACTGAATCAAATACCCCTGATATTGTTTGCTGGGGGAGATTTTCAGCTCCAAGATTTCAGGCAGTGGCCTTGTGAAAATGACTGCCATTATGGGTAGTTCTTCCCTAGGGCTTCAACTCAGCAAGGTATTGAAGCACATAACTAATTGTAAGCACGTGAACAGTCCTGTGGAAGTACCTGAAGAAGAGCTCTGTATAAGCTTGTCTCTCTCACCAACAGAAGCTGGTCCAATAAAAGCTATTACTTCACCTACCTTGTCTCGCTAATATCTCGGGACCAACATGACTACAACAACACTGCCTACAGTGGGAGTACGCTCTCATGCCTAGGGTTAGGCATGTGTAAGTATCATGCTGAACTGGAGTGTGGCATCTGAAAGTCACACAATTGCATGGCTGCAGACGGAAACAAACAACAGAGAGGTGTGCTGTCCCTTTCTTATTTGATCCACAGGGCTCTCCCAGGGAAACTGAAATATACCTACCAAGGATGAAACAAATACTGCATTCACTTCATCAGAACAGCTTCCTTCATAGAGAATAAGGGTATGTCTACACTGGAAGTGTAATTTGCCACCTGGGTAGACATATCTGCGCTAGCTGTGATCGAGTTAGCACACTAAAAACAGCAACGTAGCTGCAGCCGCATGAACTGCACAACAGGCTAGCAGCCCCAAGCATGATCCAGTCTGAAACTGCAGGTACGTCCTCGGGACGGCTCCTCACACCGACGCAGCTACACTGCTGGTACAGGTATGTCTGTCGGAGCTGGATTTTACACCTCCAGCTCCACTGTAGACATATGCTGGATGCATGTAGCTGTGCTAACTAAACACTCCCTGTGGATGCCTCTGTGAGCGGGGAAGGAGAAACCCCAGCTATACTGTCCCGGGTTCAGTTCAGGAGAAAAACCTTTAAACTCATTAAATGTTTTTATTATGTAACCTTTGAAATGGATACTTGAAATCCTGTTTTTTTGTTTGTTTGTTTGTTTGTTTGTTTTTAAGTTCCCCAGGAACACGGTGGATGCAAAACTGGCTGAGAACAAATCAGAGTCCAAATATAAGGAGAAACCTAAACTGCTCCTCCACTCATCTTCCTCACTAAGTGTCCAAATAGGAGAGATCATCCCAGCTGATGAGTCCAGCCTGAATCAATTATTCCACCATCCCATGACAAGTGCTTCCCCCCACCCCAATAAGATACTGTAAAAAGGCATCTTCCATGCCCAGAAAAGTGAGGGGTGGGGTTTGTGGGTGAGAAGGGGGAGGGGAGTAGGGGAAAGGGGCTAGAACCATGTGTGTTTAGATTTGTCACCCAAGACTGTCACTCAATACCACCATGATTTTAAAACAGGAATGCCTAAGACCATCTCTCAAAGCCTGTTCCAAGGCAATTTGTCTGCACTGCAGGGGCAGAAGCATTGCTTCAGAGGGTCTTGCCTTTGCCCTCAGAGATGACCTCTCCAGGCCGCGCCCGCATGTACCACTCCACCCAGGCACCATCGTAGACAGCCACATCTGGCTTGCCACAGAGGTATGCCCCCAGGGTCACATGGCAGGCAGTGACTCCTGAGCCACATGTGGCTACCACTGGCTTTGAGAGGTCCACTTTCTTCTCCTGGAATAAGCTGCGGATTGCCTCAGGGGTCTTCTCAAAGCCAGCTTCTGTGAGGAAATCCAAGAAGGGGATGTTCACGGAGCCAGGAATATGACCAGGCTCAATTCCTGGAGGAAGAGGAAGGAGACCAACGCAGACAGGAGTTAATCTTTACATCACAGAGGGTTCCACCGCACAACCCCTCCTTGACTACCCTCCACACATACTCGTGCCACGGCAACCCTCCCTCTACAGCCACTGCACAAGGTTATGTGAGGGTTAATGTCTGTACGTTTGACCACAAAGCATCATATCAAAGCTAAATATTATTAAAGGGCTGGGGTGTGTGGGAGCTACCTTCTCTTCCACCTCCCTAGGTCCCCGAAAGATTGAGTGCACTGCTGCCTCTGAACCACGGGACTCCGCATTCATACTAAAATACACAGCTTTCTTCACTTCTCGTATGGATGGAAAGTCACTTTCTGGGGTGCAGCTCTAACAGCTAGGGGTGGGGATGGGAGCACCCTCTTTCAGCCACATGTGTTAGTCACAATGTATGCAACACCCCTTCTATATGCCTGATTTGAGACTCAGCTGTGGCAACAGGTGAATCAGCTGAGAGGAGAGATGGTTTTAGGGTGAAGGCAAGGAATGGGACTCAGCAAATCTTATTTCTATTCCTTCCTCTGCCACAGACTTCCTGTTTGACCTTAGATGTGTATCATAATATCTGTGTGCCTCAGATTCCCAGCAGGAGAACAGCTATAATAATCCTTCCCTTCTCCCACCATTTGTCTGCCTTGACCATATAGGTTGTAAATGCTTTGTGGCAAGGCGGTCTCCTACTGTGTGTTTGTACAGCACGTACCAGAATCGGGCCCTCTATGCACGTACCAGAATACAAATCATAATCTACAGTAAATCTGGCTGTCAGATGGAGAACTTCACTGCCAGGGTTAAAGTCCTCATGGCTTACTGCTGGCACAGATGCTGAACTACTAAACATCTTGTGTTTGGTGTCATAAGGCCTTGCCCCAAGGTAAATGTGTTTTAAGCAAGCATTTCCAGCAGCATACGGAGAACAGAACAGTGGGAGAGGCAAATAGACATAGGTAAGCAGAGACAGCAACCACAAAGAGGGATAGATATCAGCCAAGCATCCTCCTCTTGAAACTCATCTTTGGAAAAAGTGAGTTTCCAGCCTCAATCTTCAGCTGGGAACGAGAGTCATGTTTCTGGGTTTGTGCCTTAAATGGACCCCATGTTTGTTACAGTGATGGCTAAGCTGAGGCGTTACCTTCCCTGGGCTCTGCCTCCGTCCCTCTGAACCGCCCTGCAGGGCGAGCATCAACCAGCTGAAAGCGACGTGACTCTATGTTCTCCTCTATGTCCTCATGGGTCTTCACCAGTGACTTGTCCAGGGAGGCATGGAACGCCACAGGAACTGCTCGGTTCTTGCCAGAGCTCAGTGGGTACCCCTCCCGCTGCCAGTTCTTCAGCCCACCGTCCAGAAGGGAGACGGCATGGTGCCCAAAGGCCCGGAACATCCACCAGACACGGGGAGCAGAGAAGAGACCTTGATCACTGGCATCATACACGACCACGTGGGAGTCGTTCCCCACACCCAGCTTGCCCACATACTCCGCAAAGTCATCCGCACTGGGCAGCATGTGGTCATATGGCGACGTGCGGTCACTGCATAGGTCGATGTCAAAGAAAGCAGCACCAGGGATGTGGTGCTCCTCAAACTCATGCCGGGGGTCACGCTTCATCTTCGGGAGGTACCAGGATGCATCCAGGATCTTCACAGCCTGCCCAGCCTGAGGGGACTTGATGGTTTCTGAGAGCCACTTAGCTGACACCAGTGCCCGATAAAGGAACTGTTGAGACATTGCTCCTGAGTCCTGGCCAGATTCAGACAGTCTCTGGGGTTTCCTGAAGGGGGGAAAAGTCAGGAATTAGTGACAGAAGATATTAGGGTGAGCTACTGAGGGAAAAAAAAAAGATTAGAGCTCTTTGGGGGAGGAATTGTCTTTTGTTCCGTGTGTACAGCACCTTGCACAATGGGCTCCTGAGCACTACAGTAATACAAATAATAAGAATAGTAAAAGAAAAGAACTTGGGCCCCAGGTTACAGAATACAACCCCACCTCTGCTTCACTTTGTGCACACCGGGGTAAAGTCAGCTCTGTTGTAACACCACTGGGGCTACATTAGAAATCGGTTTGGTGGTCCAGAGATCATGAAATGAGCCCAGTTAAAGACACAGAGAGAAGTCTAGGGAGAGGAACACCTGCCGAGCCTGCCTGACACCAAGCTGAGTCAGCTGCACGTGGCAGGAGCCTGAATTCAAAATCAGGAAGCGAGAACCCTGTGTGTGAGGCACCCTGGCACCTATGCCCCCTGGGGCTAGAAAGCTGTATATATCAGAGCCAGCACTCTGAACCTCACAAAAGGGAGCTCTGAATTAAGGACTGCCACCACCCCATTCAAAAAGCTGTTCATTTCCCTGGGTCCAAGTTTTGCTGCTGCTACACTGCCAGCACGGTGACTTTCCTACAACTCCCTGCCCCACAGGAGCATGAGAGGAAAGCACAGCTTTGGGAAGAGTCCTTGCCTCCGTGACAGACTGAGAACTCCAGGCAGAGAGAGGGTTGTCCCCTAGGACCTGGCTGAGCCAGCAGCATCCCCCCTGCCCCTGCCCTGGCGGTATGGACCCTGGGTTCCCACTGCCAGAGGTGTTACGCAGAAGCAGACAGGAGTGGCTGGTGCCCACTCCAGGCCACTCCCCTGCCTGACCCGCCCCTACAAGGCACTAACTGCACTGGATACCCCCCCATCAGATTTTAAGGGACAGTCTCCGCTCAGGGCTCCAGCGGAAAGCACGCTAGCGTGCCAACAAGGCCTGGCACGGCCTCCTTCCAACCTAGAGCCTGGGGATCGGTGCAACAGCTCCATGCCCACGCGCGGAGCAAGGGAGTCCTGGAGGCCGCTGAGCCCATGAACCCGCAGAAGTTACTGCCATCGGGCGTGTTCCTGCCCTCTTCCCTCGACTGAGGGACTCCCGTCCAGCAGGCTATTGCCCATACCTCCGTGCCCCTCCCGGGTCGCTGCTGCTCGGCGGTGTGACTGACATGGGCTTCAGCGCGCCTCCCCCAGTGCGCGGCGCTCCCACCCCCGCCGCTCCCTCTATACGTTCGCTCCGGGGCGGAGACAAGCGCCACCGCCCACCCGGCTGCCCAATGGGGGAAAGGGCTGCCCGGGCAAACCAACCTCTAGGAGGCAGGGGCAGCGCTGGGGGCAGATGGGACCTCACGCACCAGCCCTCCCAGCCCAGAGCCAACCCGCAGCAGCTCCGCTCGGCTCCCAGCCACCAGCGGGAGTGGCCCCGCTCAGCACTCTCCTGGGGAGGGGGGCGTTTCCACACACACCCCCCTGCAATAATGGTCCGAGCCGCCTGCAGGGCGAGGAGGAAATGAATCAAACAGGCTTTTGGCAGCCAGGGTGCGGCGGCGGGAGCTGCCGAGTCACGGCAATAAATGTGCCTTGAGTGGAGTGCAAAGGGAGCGAGGCGCTGCAAGGCTGGCCTCGCCCGGGACAGTCACCCGCCCGCGCTGCACGTGTGGACTGGGGCTTAGTGACCCAGGGCTCCGGAGCGAGCTGCGCTGCACACGCTGCCCTCTGCACCCCCCTTACCCGGCTTCCAGCCCCGCTTCCCTCCCCGTGTGCTTGCCAGGAATCCCGCTCTGGAGCGCTCCCTCGCTGCTAGGGTAGCCCTGCCTGGGGGCGTTTCCCGCAGGGGATTTAGCACTGAAGGGTTTCTCTGAGGCGGGAGGGCCTGGGAACTGCTCCTCCATCACCAGGATTCTTCCTAGAGCAGGAGGACTTTGTGTCCAGCGGTTTCCTTCATTAGGAGGGAATCTCCTGGGCTTGCTGTGTAGTGACATGCCAGCGGGTCTTTAGCTCCCGTCCCTTACACTTGTACTGTGCCCATCACCCTGCCTGATGCCACAGTCCTAGCTTTCTGCAGAGCCCCTTACAGTTTTTTCTGTGGGGAGACAAGGTGGGTGAGGTAATATCTTTTATGGCAGTGGCGCTCAACCTTTCTGGACTACTGTAACCCTGTCAGGAGTCTGATTTGTCTTGCATACCCCCAAGTTACATCTCACTTCACTGTTTGCCAGAAGCTGGGAATGGGCAACGGGATGGATCACTCGATGATTGCCTGTTCTGTTCATTCCCTCTGGGGCACCTGGCACTGGCCACTGTTGGGAGACAGGATACTGGGCTAGACGGACCTTTGGTCTGACCCGGTATGGCCATTCTTATGTTCTTAAAAACTACTTGCTTACAAATCAGACATAAAAATACAAATACAAAAATAAAAATACAAAAGTGTCACGTGCTGACTTTCTCATTTTTACCATATAATTATAAAATAAATCAATTGGAATATAAATATTGTACTTACATTTCAGTGTATAGTAGATAGAGCAGTATATACAAGTCATTGTCTATATGAAATTATAGTTTGTACTGACTTCGCTAGTGCTTTTTATGTATAGCCTGTTGTAAAAGTAGGTACCTATCTAGATGAGTTGATGTACCCCGGGGAAGACCTCTGCATACCTCCAGGGATACACGTACCCCGGGTTGAGAACCACTGTTTTATGAGATCAGCTTCTGTGGGAGAGAGAGACAAGCTTTCCAGCAGCACAGAGTTCTTCTGGTACCAGTAGCTCGAACGCTTGTCTCTCTCACCAACAGAAGTTGGGTCCCATAACAGATAGAATGACAAGGTGGGTGAGGGACTAATATCCTGGGACCAATACGGCTACAACACTTCACAGTTTCTTCTTTGAGATTTACCCTTTGCCCTAACACCAATTTAGCAAGTCATCTGACTGCGCTGTCAATGACTCTGGAGTCTGGTTTCACCTTGTTCCCTCCCTCCCCCACTGTCAGAGTTTCAGATTTATGTCCCACGGGAGGCTGAAGATGGTTCCTTATTCCCAGTTCCTTACTGGTGGTACCAGCTCCTTATTTAAAGGCCAAAATTATTTAAAATATATCAGGGTAAGAGTCAATGTTTAGAAATGACACCAAATTGTGATGGAATGTGATAAAGATACATTAGTTAATTATTAATTACATAAGCAAATAAGCTGGTATTTGACTGACTGTGCGTGACAAAGTCTCCAATCACCTGAAGTGACATGTGCCTGTGACCAACAATCTGTTCTGAAGGAGCTGGGACAGGCTGCTGCCTGACCCAAAGTGTAGTTCCTGCGCCTTATGCTGCTACATGTCATGGTCCTGCCCCACTACTACCTTGTAAATAGGGCTTGAATAAAGAGCTGGGATTTGACTGACTGCACATGACAAAATAAGTCTCGGGTCACCCCAAGTGACATGTCTCTATGACTGTCAGACTGTTCTGAAGGAGCTGGAGCATGCTGCTCGCCGACCTGAAGTGTTCTTCTTCAGCAGTATGCTGCCACATGTCATGCTCCCACCCCATTTCCATTTTTTACATGGAGTTTGGATAAGGAGCTGGGGCTTGACATGCTGTACATGACAAAATACATCTTTGGGGCACCCCAAGTGATACGTCCCAGCAACCGTCGGACTGAAGAAGCTGGGGTGTGTCATTCATTTACCTGAAGCTTTGTTCTTGTGCGATAGGATGTCACATCTCCACCTTACTTATATTTTCTATATGGAGTTTGAAAAAGGAGCTGGGTTTTGACAGGGTGTACCTGACAAAATAAGTCTTGGGTCATCCCAGGTGACACAGTCTCTCAACTGTTAAACTGGTCTGATGGATTTGAGACATGCAACTCCCTGACTTGAAACTTTTTCTATGAGAAAAATTGTGGCCCATATCACCAGCCCTCTCCCCCACCCCCCAAACACATACACACCTTTTAGAAGGGAATGGGAACAGGAATGGCAAACCGGGCCGTTTCAGAAGGTGAATATGTGGATCCTATGCTTGCAGCTACAGGGACTTGGTGAGTGCTGTGTTTGTTCCATCTGTTTGTTTGTTCGTTCTCAATCAGGGTTGTATGGCTGGGCTATGGGCCCCTGAACTGCCTGGGTGAGACAGATCTGTTTGTGTCTCAGTGAGGGCCTGGTGGCTGGATTTTGAACAGAACTAGTGTTTGACGTCTCTGAGTGGTTATTCCCGCCCTGTTTGCGAGGGAAGTTGCTGAACACTGAGGCTTAATATATATCAGTTGCCAGGTGAACAAGAGTGACAAACCAGATAAATCTGAGTGGGGGTTTACAGAGGGATTGTGAAACCAGTTTTAGGTATGTCTTTACATAAGGTGGCAGATAGGGATGATAAGGGAAAAACTGCTGTGACCTGCATTGGATGTGCTATGTTTTCCTCTTTGCTGGATGCCACAATAGATTTATCCGAGGCAATGAAGACTTCTTGGACAACCAGATTTGGAAATCATTGTCACAGACACCACAAGGTGATCAGTGATAAGAGACTTGGAGAAAGTAGAAACCAAAGAGGCAGTCTGTGACCAAGAGAGGAAAGAGAGTCAGGAGGCATTCAACCCAATGAGAAGTATCAAAATATTTTCAGGTAGCAAATCTACTATAGAAGAACCTTTTCTCTGATGAATGGAACAGAAAGCTACAGGGGACATACCTGATGGGTGTCCTTATCATATGAAATAAGCAGCTACCAAGAGAGGTTCTTCAGCCATCCTAATAATGCAAATAATCAACATCAGCGACTCCATATTAAGAAGAGCAGACAGAAAATTAAGCAAGGGGCAGAAGGACAGTAGGACGGTATGCTGTCTCCCTGGAGTGAAGATATGAGAGGTAACTGTAGAGTTAGACAGGTTTATGAAGTTGTCTGGCAACTGATGATGATACACATTGGAACCCATGACAAGCATCACATGGAACTACCCAGATTATAGAAGACCTTAGACATCTTGGAAGTGAGTGGAAGAAAAGGAAAGTTTAAGTGATCTTCTTGGAGATCATACTGGTCCCTTGAGTGAGAGAAGGCAGAAAATACTGGAGGTGAATTGTTGGCTGCGCGGTTGGTGTGAGGCTGAAGGTGTTGGATTTGTTGAACCTTTCAGTGGGAGAGAGGCCGTACAGTCAAGATGGGCTGCATCTCACAGGTAGGGAGCTAACCTTGAATGCAGATGAACTGGAGCAGCTAGGAAGCCATTAAACTACCAATGCAAGGGGAGGGTGCTAAGGAGGCAAATGCAGTACAAAAGTTCAGACTTGACATTGTGAAAAAATTGGACTGATGTGGCAAAGAGAAGACATTTTTCAATTGCTTATATATCAGTGCTAGGAGTCTGGGTAACAAGTAACAGGAAGTAGAAATTCTCAATGATGAGAAAAAAATTATATAATTGGCATTACTGAAGCCTGGTGGGACAATTCACATGACTGGTTATATCCTGTTTAGGAAGTATAGAGTTGGTAAAAGAGGTGTGTGTCTTACAATGAGAGATTTAGAGAGCTCAGTCTGTTTAGTGTATCAAAAAGAAGATTGAGACATGACTTGATTATGGTGTATAAATACCTTCATATTAGAGGTCTGCACAGGCCTAAGTTTTAAGCCTGACTGGACTTGGACTATGAGTCGAAGAGGGTCAAGTCATTTTCCAACCCAACCCCAACCCCTCAAACCTGAGACAGCGCCACCTCCTGTAACCTGTCCATGTGGTCGACACGAGCCCTGTGGCTGCTTGGCACGCTCACTCCGCAGCAGATACAGTGCAGCAAGGTGGTGGAGACTGGCAGGAGCGGGGCAGGCAGGGTCAGAAAATGGGGAGTGGAGCTGACCCAGCCCAAGCGGGTCGGGTTGTTTTCTAATCTGACCTGATCCGAATCTGACACTTCTCATCGGATCCCATCGGGTTTGGGTCAGGTGCAGGGCTCTACTTCACATGGACAAAATATTGGGTACTAAAGGCTCTTTAATCTAGCAGAGAGAGGCAGAACAAGAACCAGTGGCTGGAAGCTGAAGCCACATTCCATTTAGGGCACAGGAGGCAATCACCTCCCGACTTTAGGGAAATTTGCATCTAGATCTGAACTTCACAGCTGCCCATATTTTGGCGAGTGGCATATCTCAGGGCCCAGCTCCTTCATAGCAGTTTGATGGTCACAGGGA